ACATCTTTTTAATCCAGTCATCTACTTTTGGGCATTTGGGCTGCTTCCATGTTTTTTCCAATTGTAAATAAAGCAGCAATAAACATGGGGGTGCAGGTATATTTTTCAATCAGTGTTTTTGTGTCTTTGGGTAGATGCCTAGGAGTGGGATTGTGGGTCGTAGGGAAGCTCCGTGTTTAGCAGTTTGTCTCAAGTTGTTTTGGTGTTGATGCCACCTGCACGCTTTCTCCAGAAGGGAGCTGGCCACTCACTAAATCTTTTTACGCCTGATGGACTACTCCTAGTTCCTGGACTCCCAGGCAAAGGGGTGATGTGCCGCCTGACCACGAGGAGCCATCCGAAGTAGGGGCTGCCCTTAGAATCACCTGAGGAGCGTGGCAGTCCCGAAGCTGGGGCCGCCCCAGATCAGTGAAGCACTTGGGCAGTGGGGTGGGTCCCAGGCGCCAGAGATCTTTGGCTCCTCGCTTGCTGTCGAGACCTTGGGCTGTTAGGGCGGCTGCCCTTCCCAGCTCATTCACCCACCTGTCCCCGGTGCCAAGATCCGCAGGGCCGTATAGTTACAAGGGAAAAAGATACCAGTTTAATTAGGGTGTAACTGAGGTACAATAGACTGATATGTGTATGTAGTGTACAGTACTTTTTTTTTTAACAGGCCGTTTGCTCAGTACAGATGAAACTGGAGGGCACCATGCTGAGCAAAATAAGTCAGAAGGAGAAAAGCAAATACCAGATGATTTCACTCACGTGTGAACTATAAAGGAGCACCATAAGGCAATAAAACTAAAGCAAAACAAGCCCCAGAAATTTGACTGCAAAATGGAGACCCTGATCGACCTTGGCCCCTGGTTGACTGGGTTGAATCCAGTATGAGAATGTTATGTATTAGTTGTTTATTTGCAGCCTCCTCTAAATATTCAATACTGTGGTGGCAAAGTATCATTTGTAAGAATGCACTCTAAGTCTAGTGGTCTAGTCAGCAAAGGGTACAATAAAAACAAACATCATTTTCATGGCATAGTTTTCTCTTAATAACAAGCAAACCAGGTCAGAGTGTGGTTATTATCCAGGAAGATGCCCCTTAAGCGATGGGACTGTCCAGTGAGCTATGGCCTGCACAGCCAGGGATGAACTGAATCATCCTCAGTGCCTCAGCTAGGAAATGAACCTTTCAACCAAGCCCAAAAACAAACCTAGAAATAGAAATCTGATAGTAAACTGATGTGACCAGGGGAGGGGGGTGTGAGCAGCAAAGGTTAGCAGGGTCCTGAAGGACTATGGTGGAGGATTACGGGTACCTTGGTGGTGGGTGTGGTGTGGTGACATACATCTGAAGAGGTGGAACCTATGTCCCTGAACCATATATAGGGCTGTAATCCATTCTCTCAATAAAAAAATAGAATTCAAAACAAACAAAAAAAAGATCTATGACAAGTTTTTTATACTCCTGAAACCGTCACCATAATCAAGATAATGAATATGCTCTTCAAGGCTGAGTTGTAAGAATCCTACTTTGTACTCCTGTTTCACAACTATTTAATGTGTTTGCACGCCTTTGCACTGACTGAGAAGGAAGCCATGCACAACCTCTTTCCTGGGAACAGGTTACAGGACCCAGTTGCTACATGAACAGGTGACACTTCTACTTGAGTGTGCTGTGAGGAGACAGGACAGCCGGGGAGGTGGGTCAGAAGAAACTGGTTTAGCTCATCTCCACAGTTGGGAGTGTCTGTTGGTCACTAAAGGAAAGTGCAGCCCAAGTGTAGAAAATAGCATGAGCCTAGAAGTGAAGTCACGAAAAGGTGACAAGTTTCGTGAGCAGAGATGTGGCTCAGCGTGTTAGTGCACTGCAGGTGTGGGGTGTGAAGGAAATCAGGAACGATAGGTGGCAGTCACCAGATGAGGAGGAGAGGTGAGCCCCAGGGGCCTGGCTTGACACTGTGAACTCAGTCTTAGCCCAGAACCCCAAGCCTTAAGCAAGGAGCATCGTGGTCAGATTTACCTCTTAGTGACAGCCTCCCAACGTTGCAGGAAAATGAGTCAGAAAGTCTTTGCAAAGTTTGAAGAGCAGAAACACACAAGTTATAGGCACATCATTTAAGAATCAACCATGAGAACAAAAGCCATTTTTAGAAACATTACATGTAGCCATATTTAGAGGATTCTTTTTATTCAAACACTAGCAGCTGAAGTCTCTGAAGAATGGATGATACTCTGGTCCATGAAGCCCAGAGTCTTATGGCCCTTTGAGAAGCAATGTAAACTGGTTTGCTCTGATGCAAAGGGACACAACGAACAATGGGACTCTTTACAAAGAGGTTGAAATAGCCCACTGGATCCAGTATCATCTTCAAGCTTAAGGGAGGCAAGTGCAGGTGAGAAATAGTCTGTAGTGATGTACACCTGAAACATATATAATGTTACAAGCCAGTATTACTTTAAAAAGAAGAAAGTTTGTGATAACAAGTTACAGTGATTTTAAGCTGTGTCTGCATCAATTTTAAGCTGTGTCTGCATCAATTCTGCTGTTAGCTGACTGACTGATGGCTAATAGTTTTACTGTGAGCATTAATTGCTCAAAAGAGTGTGTTTCTTTGATTCCACTCACCACCTAGCTTTGAGAACACGAGTAAATGCAAGTGGTGTCAGTGAAGATGCTTTCAGCAGGAACGACACAAACTAGGCTGACAGCGAGGAACAGAGGTCTCCAAGTAAGGTCACGTCAGAACTCCAGCTCCATTTTCCCACGATTTTCTTGGCCCTGGCCTTCTCCACTGTCAGCGTTGTCCTTAATGACTGAAGCAGTCCGGGGCTCCCATCCTCAAGCCCAGTCTCCCGATGGAGTCCTTCTTCCTCCAAGCTTCCTCCAAAGGTTGGGCTTTATTCTAGTTGCATTCACTTATGTGAAGCACTAAGTCAAGTCAATCGCAGGGATGGGATTCTGCTGATTGGCTTGGAGCAGCCAAGACAGCAGGTGTCAATCAATTCGGTGTTCTGTGTGTGGTGGCAGCTACTGAAAGTGAGACTTACTGCCATGAGCATCGCCAAAAGCCCCAAATATCAGGAAGGACAACATCTGTTAAAGATTTTTTATTTGTAAACTCCGTTAGCTAATAGTCATGGGAAAAAAAAATAACAAAAGTAACCAGGGGGCAAGGCATTAGACATAAACAAGGACACACTTAACATTTTAAAAAGACTGTGGTGTGGTGGGCGTGTCAGTTCTGGTCTTCAGATGGTGTCACAGCTAAGCCTCTGTGTCCAGGGAAGGCTGTGGCCATGCGGTCTGCTCTGGGATCTGCTTCACAAGACTGGATTTCGGGCTCCAGGCAACAAGCCTCCTCTCTTACCACCAGTCACACAGAATGGGCGCACTTTCAAAGTCACTTAAAACTCTTACTTCTGCAGGGTTTTGTTCACTCCATTTCATCAGCCTTGAGTCTTGGAAAGGCCATGTGTTAGAGGCTGTGCCCTCTTACTCGATCACTCGAGGGCTCCAAGACAAAGGCGGAGCCTGGACCCTTCTCCCTACTCCTCTCCCCAGCATGCTCCTATTCCTGCTCATGTTTTTTCACAGCTGAGCTTCTGTGTCCAGGGCCTGTCTTCTGCCTCTCCCACATACCGGCACCTCAAAAAAATCTGGAGTGGACCTCATGGTGGATATTTCTAGCCCAGGCTTTTCAGTCAACATCTAAAAGGTCTTGGGATCCCAAGACTCACCTCTGAAAACACTGAGAGATATGTCACTTTCCTGTTTTCTCGGTGTGAACTCCAAGAGTTCCTTGTCAGAGACTGAGCTAAAGAGTGATATCCTTCCCTCCTGATGTCTCAGTGTCTTCCAGAATTTGGTTACTTATCTGTAGCTACATTTTCTCAGGCGTGAATGACCTTGGGAAGGTCTTCTAGAATGAATGGTGATTGTTGTCACTCACCTGCATTGTATACTCACTAGTGAAAATCAACTATACAAAGGTTCATTGCACTATATGCATATAATTTCATAGGTATTTGATTAGCAACATGCACAACTCCACTCAGAAAGGCTAGGTGTTACATGGAAGAAATACCAAAGAGCTTCATGGTTGCTTACTTCTTCATCAGGCTTCTAACAACTTTTTACTATTTGAGAAAGAGAGCGAGAGAGAGAGAGAACTCTTAAAAAAGCATTCTAGTAGAAACAGATGACTTAAATTCACAATTATAATTTTTGTTAATTAACTTATGAGCTCATCGATTGAATTAATTATTTGAAAACTATACAAATAATTGATAACAGTCCTGGGGACTGTCTTCACAACCATTGGGGTCATGCCATAGAAACTTGTGATTTAAAGAGAACTTAAGGGCATCTAAATTAAGTTTCTCATTTTACAGCTGAAGAAACAGAAGGCAGAAAAATTACATCAGGAGTCCAAAGTCACACAGGGATCAGGATTGGGGACCGATATGTACATCCTGTGAGGGCCCTGTTGGGCTTTGTAATAATAGTAATAATAGCAGAGTACCTCCCCAGATCTTTTCCTTTCATTAAAAATTTTTTTAAAGCTAGAAGGGCAGGCAGGACTTGGGAAGACACAGTAGCCAGGCCTCTGCTCTGCGCTGGGTGTGCTCTCAGGAGATCCAACCGGAAGGCCCAGGCACTTACCTAGTAGTCGGGGTTGGGCATGTGCCTTGAGTGTCCATAGGGGTTCTGTGGCTGACCGAATTTGGAAGCTGTGGTCCTGGCTTTAGGAAAGATGTTCGTATCTGCTCCCCTATTGGAAATGCCCGTTTGCTGCATCCTCATACTTGTAAAGTCATTCTCAATCAACTTCTGTTCTTCGGTATTCTTCTTTTTGTTCTTTGACCTATAACATCAGTAACAGGATTAGGATCTGAAATTGTAGGAAAATCCTTGAAGCAAATGTTAATATTGGTTTTGGAATAATTTCAATTGACATGTAACTTACTGAAACACACACACACACACACACAAAGCACCTACATAGAACTTCCATAAAATCATCAGCCTGATGTACCAATTGTTAATATTTCTGAAGCATTTATGAATAGTTTGCCAATCTGATGCCCCATTAACCATCATTCTTTATTATCTCATTCATTCTGGACTCCCTAATTGTTTTTAATGACATAACAGTTTATTTTTGCATCATTTTGTGCCTTTTTTCATCTCAGTTGTAATCCCTATGGGCTTCCCATCACCAAATCACCCGTGTGCCATCACCATAGTCCAGTGCATTCCTCCACCCACCCCCACCCCCCCCCCCCCACTCATTTTTGATCCCTTTCCCCACTCCACCCCTGTAAAATGTCTCTGGTATATAGCTATTCATCATTATTATTATTTCCTACCCCCCCCCTCGGTCCTTTATGCTCCTGCTGTGAGTGAAACTATCCAGTATTTTTCTTTTTCTTTCTGCTTTATTTCACTAAGCTGATCCCTTCCAGCTCCATTGGACTCCCTGGTTTTCAGTGTAACCACAAAAACCAGATCATTAACATTAATCCACCATTACTATCTAATTCTGCAAGTCCCATTCAAATTTTGCCAATAATGTTTATAGTCTGCTTTTGAATTACTCATGGAGAGAAAATAGAAGTCAAAGAGAAAAGGTGATTTGGGGGTGGAAGTTTGTGCTTAAGCAAAGTCAGTGTCTGTAGATGTGCCTCAGTGAATTCAAAGCCACATTGAAGTACCTGCCCCAGGTACCTGATGGCAACCTCTCTGCCCTTCCCACTCACAGGCCTGCTCCTGCCAGTGGTGCTCTGGACTGCTGGAGCAGGGAGCTGAGCCCCAGGGCACTCTCAGGGTGACAGTCACTAGACCTCAGCCACACAGGGAAGACCATAAAATCAAGTCCCATTCTCACTGTGACCCTGAGGGCCTGGCCTCAAATGAGGTCCTGCCCTTTAACAACACTTCTGTCTCAGGTAACTAAGGAGAGATTTCCTTGCCTTTCAAGTGGGTGAGGAGTGACCATTCTGGGTGCGTTCTAAGATCTGGACTCTGGGCTAAGAGCAAGCCTGACTCTGCAGCAGGAAGGAGGAGCTAAGAAATATGCTGGAAGGCTTAAGAGGGCTCCTGAGGACACAGGAGACCTGGGTCAGTTAGTCAGGCCACCTGGGAGGAGACAGTCTTGCCCTAGAACCAGAATGTTCTGGACCCCTCCCTGGAAAAGGGACAGTCACATTCCCATTTCTAGCTCTGTGGCCTTATTAAGTCTTTGGGGAAGAGTTAATGTCAAAATGGAAACATTTTAGGAATATAAATCTGTTTTCCTCTCATATCACAGTGTAAAAAATACATATTTTGCCATAGTATAAGATACAAACTAAATGTTATTCTAAAAAGAGGCTTGTTTTTATCAATGTGAATCCTATTTGGTATATTTAAAATGCAATAGCGCTAACAGCACTCTCCCTGTTAAAGGAGGGAACTTCAGTCTACCCAAATATTTGTTGAATAAATGAAGTCTTACTTAAGTTGCCCCCCCCCATTTTTTTAAAAGATGTATGCATACAGAAGTGGGGTACAGGCCAGAGGTGCAAGGGCAGTGAAAGGATTCACCAGAGACAAAGTGGGATGCAGAACAGGCATATTGATGAAGTACCCTGCTAAGGGGAGCAGCGGGTGGGTCAGGGGAGGTCGGCTGCGCCATGTGGGTCACTTTGCAGGCTGGGGATGGAACTCGCACTGGAGCAGCTGTGGCTAGCTTCACAGTGCTGCACTTTAACCTGTTGCACCACTGGGGAGGGCCCCTACTTAAGTTCTTAAGAGAAATTAAGGCACCCAGCTAAGAAATGACTGTGCCATTTAGTTTCTTAAAGGCCAGGGGGCACTGTCAAGGCTGATGTTAGACCATTTATGTCAAGACCTGGGCAGGGGAGTGATTTGCATAAGGTGACATTTGACAACATCAGTGGAATTAAACACTGTTAACTGAAGGTCACCGAGGCCCCTCACCCAGGCCTCACAGCCAGGTCTAATACCCAGGCCCCCAGAGTGGCAGAAGGTATCAATATCTGGAAGTATCAAGATGGGCTGGCTGCTGAGATGGAGTCAGGGTGCTGCCCCCAGGTGGCCGCTCTGATAAGGATCAAAGACCCTCAACAAACAGGGACTGCTGACCAGAGGGCAGCATGACTCACTTTTCCTGACACATCAGGACATATAGAAGACCCCTTGCCTGTACACTGGGGGCGACTCTCCAGGCCTCCACTGGGACTGTGAACCTCGCCAGGGAGCACAATAAAGCCTTCCCCTCTTCATTCTGTCTCCTTGCCTTATTCTGTCCGCTGGACCTTACATTAACAACCAGTTTTTAAGAACTGCAGAAAATAGTTGTTTTGTTACATTATAGTATTAAGTAAAATAAACTTCAACATTAAAAAAACAACAACAAAAGAGGCCCTCCCTGGTGGCACAGTGGGTTAAAGCTAAAGCACAGTATTAAGAAGCTAAAGCCACTTCAGCGTGAGTTCGATCCCCACGCCTGGAAGGTGACCACATGGCGTGGCAGACCGCTCCTGACTCCCCTCAGCAGTGTACTTCATTGATCTGCCTGTTCTGCTACCAACTCTTGTCTCTGGTGAATCCTCTCACCACCCCTGCACCTCTGGCCTGTACCCCAGTACTGTATACATAAATAAATAAGTAAAAATGCACAAAAGATACAAACTTATGTGTATTTTATCATTTTAAAAGATAGTAATAAACCTGCCAGAATGTTAGTTGTTTCAGAATGGTGGGTTTTGTGGGTGTATTTCTAGTCTACTCCTTTACACAAGTTTCTTTCTTCTGCAATATGTACAGTTGATGTAATCAGAAGAAAGTTAAAGTAAGAAAAAGACAGGTCAAGTATTAGAGAGGTTTAGCTTATTTCCCCATGTTGCCTGGGAAAGGCCTGGTGTGTTGCAGGTGTGTTTGGAAACCAGAGTCTAATGCCAATGGCACTGTGCCCCAGATAAAGGACACTTCCAAGCCTTACCTTGCTACGAAGATCAGTGAGATTGTCATGCAAACAATGAGGGCTCCAGCAATGGAGCCTACGATAGTGAGGATCAGCAGAAAGTCTGAAAGGGAAATAGAAAAGTAGGAATTGTCTATTACACAGGTCTTTGTATTCCCGGGGGCACCTGACTGTGGGGACTCAGGCTTTGGTCTCAGACCTTTTAAAAGGTGGGGTAGATGGCTCATCTTCTTTCACCCTCCTCCCCAGCTGTGCCTTCAGAACTCAGAGAGGTAGGCTTGACAGGTAAAAGAAAACCATAAACACAAGGAGGCCATAATGGAGGGCCTTCTTGGGTTTGGTGGAGGGTGATCACAATTGAGGGCCACACCCTGCTCTTTTGACCACCTTATCTGACCTATAAGCTGAGGGAACTGGGTTGGAGTTGAATTTGTTGCTAATAGAGGAGCAAGGTGGTTGACAGAATTGGTGAGGAAGAGTTCATTACCACCTATGCCCTATCTAGATCTGCCCTACCTAGCACTTGAAATATGATTAATGAGATGGCCTCTGAGTGGAATGTGCATAGCAGATTCGAACACGCAGTGTGAAAAAAGTATAAAATCTCTCTTAATAATGCTTAAATGCATTCCATGTGGAATTGATAGTATTTTAGACATATTGGGAGAAATATTATCAAAATCTACTTTACCTATTTCTATTAACTTTATAAACTTTACTTTGTATTTTTTAGATCTTAAAGTCCAACCCCAAGCTCACATATTTCCACCAGATATTCTTGCTCTAGAGCCCTCTGTCTCTTTGTGACTGTCAGACGTGCCATTCCCCGACCTAGATTCATGGGCCAGACACCAGCGCATCTGCAGAAGAGCTCTCATTCTTAGGTGTGGACACTCAGTGCCCAGAAGGGAGAAATGACTTAACAAACCAGCCTTGCAACATAACACAGGAGAAATGTATTTCTCATCACTTGCTCTGTGCTGACTGGGAGGCCATGATGTTTCCTTCATCTTAGATTATTGGCCTTTAGCTCATTATGTAAAAATGAAACAATTATTTTGTAATCTGATGACATGTACTTTATTTTTAAGTGCAAATTTTACATCTATATTTTAGTATTTTCAACAAAGTTTATTGAGTTGCCATTTATTTACAAAACTATATAGTTTTAGCTTCACATCTTAGCATTCTCCCACCGCCAAAATTTCTGAGCCAATTTTGATCCTGTTGTCCCTCTCTCCCCTTCTCCATCCTCCTCACCACCATCTTCCTTCTGGTAAACACTGTGTTCTCACAGAGTCTAAGAGTCATAAAATATAATCATTCAAAATATAAATTTAATATTGTCTCAGTTTGCTGGGGCGGGAGCATGGGAAGGAACTAAGCAACTGAATTTGTAATGACACACGCCAAACTAGCAGAAAGCTCTGAATCAAAAAGAAGAGCCCAGTATTTAAACTTCTAACTCTGCTCTGCCTCAGCCAGATATTTTTGGAATAGATGGGTCATTTACCCTTTCTAGTAGCAGAAAATGCATATTATGCAATTGTAGGAAAGGAGCACCTTAGTCAGAGGTTCTTCTTTGCCCTGGGAGGAGATTCTGGCCCGCCCACCCCTGGGATGGGTTCTGCTTGTCCCTCCAGAGTAGTTCCCCTACCCAAGCCCTCAGGGTGGGCGGTGGCTGACTCAGAAGACAAGCTACAGGCAGATTTTCTCTTTACCAGAGAGTCCAGACACAGACATTGGGGGATTGGATAGAAATTTGAGTATGGTCAATGTTTATTTCTAGGTGCTTAGCAACAAAGCAAGGCTTTTTACTTACTGTCTTCACAGGAGACTCCGCTGTAGCCAAAGCTACACCTGAAATACAATAAGTAACAGGAAGCAGTGGTTAGAGTCCCACCTAATCTCCATTTCTCCATTTCCATCTTCCCTTCCTTGTTCTTCCTCCCCTCTCTTCTCTGTACTCCCATTAGGCCAGTGAGCACCTTCCATGGAGCTCTGGAGGGCCGAGGGGCTTACACAACCCATTGACCTCATTTGTACCTGCATGAATACTCTGTCCTCTGAATCAAGGAGATTCAAAACTCCAATGAAGCTGAGCCCGAGAGGCCTGGAGCATGGTGGGAGCACAATGGGGAACTAGCACATTCCTGAAGTGTGAGGTATCATCTGTGCGGTTCCCAGCACACAGAGAATGTTCAAAAACCACAGATGATGATGATGCTTCCCAGACCTACCAACTTATACCAGCGCACCGCTTTCCTGATCCTAACCCCACGTACATGCTGCAAGCTCTATCGTTTTGGCTACCTCCAGCTATGGTAAGATTGAAAAAGAGGGAATTCTCTTACTCGTGGCAGACGCCATTGTCTTCTTTGTAGCCAGGGAGGCACACACAAGTAGCAGACTCATTGAATGATTTCCATAAGCATTGCTTATGCTTCTCCGCAGTGCAGTTGTCAGCACACTGAGCTGCAAAACAGAGTGATTTCTAGATAACTTTCAAAAAACAACCTCTTTAGCCCCAGTGAGAGGACATAAAATACATTTTTTCACATTGCTCTGGCTAGGGAAAGTGAGGTGCTCATTGGTTCAACACAGGAAGCGGCACACAGGCCGTATCTCAGCTCTCGGCAGAGGCCCCAGTCCTGGTCTATGGGTTGAGTCAAAATTCACATTGCTCAGGCTCCAAGATGCACGTGGAAACTTGAGCAAAGATCACTTTTGAAAATGTGAAAGGAAAGAGAACAGGAACTGCGAAGAACACTCAAAAGCAGCCAAGACACTTACCAACACACAGAGGAATTACTGAGATCGGTCTGTACAGTCCTGGTTTGCATTTACATTGTAAGCCATTGCCACAGCCATTCTTCTCTACTTCACAGCCATAATACTCACAAGTATTTTGTTCTGGGAGGTAAAAAAGAATTCAAAAATACATTGAGCAAAACAATATGGATAAAGCAACTTGTTAAAAACACCATACTCCATTTTTAAAAAAAATATTTATTTATTTATTTGTACAGAACTGGGGTACAGGCCAGAGATGCGGAGGGTGAGAGGATTCACCAGAGACAGAGTGGGGAGCAGAACAGGCAGATCGACGAAGCACACTGCTGAGGGGAGCAGCGGGTGGGTCAGGAGAGGTCTGCCACACCATGTGGTCACCTCTGGGGCACGCGGGAATCGAACTCATGCGGAACTGGCTTTAGCTTCTCAGTGCAGTGCTTTAACCCGCTGTGCCACCAGAGAGGGCCCACGATACTCCATTTTTGCTATAACTGCCTTTTAGTAACTTTTAGGATTCAACAATTGAAAATCTGGGAGTCTGAAACTGAACTCTCCAATCCATTCTTCCCTATTTCCTTCTAATATTCCATTCAAAATAATTCAACCCAATGAAGTGCAAGTATGTTCAAGTTCAAGATGTCTTTTACACTTAGCTCTGTACTAGGTTCCACAAGGAACACAGTAACTACGTATTTGGGGGCCCCATTTTTATAGAGGTATACATTTGAAACCACAGAAAGTCACATCAAGCAACTCACACTCCAAATTTGCAGTACCATGGGAAATCATAGGGCCCAGATAAATAAAGATCGCATCACGGAGGAAATGGAAATCATACTAAGTTGTGAAAGAGGGAAGATTTGAACAAACACAGGCATAATGTAAGTGCAGAGTGAACAAATTATATAAGAAGCAAACAACCATTGTCAAGGCTGACTGGACGTTGTGTGAATGGGGAGAGGCCCTGTGGAGGGGAGAGTGAAAACAGGGTTCTTGGCGCTGCCAGTTTTGGCTGCTGGTTCTCTTTAATCCAGGTTATCTCCATCTATAAAATCAGACTAATAATTCTAGTTTCTCATGGTTGTAAAATCTGAAAGAGCTAAAGTAAATACAAGAGCCCACTCAGGGGCCTCAGCAAATAATCACTCCTTTGGTGGATCACAGGTTTGGTGGAGTTTGAATGCCAGACAAAAAAGACATTGACTTTTCCACTCTAAGCCATGAGAACCCACTGGTAGATTTTGAGCAGAAGCAAGGTCATGAAGCAGTTTTTAAAGAATGTTAATCTAAATGTAGGTTGGAAGTCACTAAAGACATAAAGATGAATGTAAAAACAGATTAGGGTGAGGGGATGGGAGCAGACAGAAGAACCTCCCAGACCTGTAACTCACCTTCCTTCATCACCTGCCACTGGTAAATTAAGAGAAAGAGATTCTAGTTGACACAGAAGAGAAACTCCATCTTTGCAGCACAAGCTGCAGCGCAGGAAAAGGTGTTTTCCTCCTAGAGTTCTACGGTTCTCACTTACACCCTGAGCAGCTTGTGCTCCAGGAGCATCTCTGACTCGTGTTTGGCAATTTATTAATGTGTCTAAGAATGCATGTCTGGTCTCAGAGCGAAGAACTGTTGAGAGGAGTGGTCCTGAAAAGAGCAATCTCAGAGCTGAGGCCAAACGGTTTTAAGTATGCTGGGGCTTGCAGCAATTACTAGGGAGAGACAAGTGGGAGAACTGGATGGAGGACACCAGCTTTGTCCGGAGGAATGCACGCATGTTTTCAGCTGGCACCACACTGGTCAGTCCCCACGCTGATGGGGACCCACAGCTTCCTCATATTTACAAGAAGCCTCATCAAGCCCAAAGTGTAGTGTATGATAAGGTCCTGTCTTGCCTTGCCAACATCCTATCTTCCAAGTGATGGGATTTTGACAGCACAAATTGCTACTTGGAAGAAATCCTGGCCCTGAAGAGAAAATGATTAGCAGGTTGAAGTTCAGTCTGTTGGAAGACAAACACCAAGTGATACCCAGAGAGGGAAGTGCAACTTTGAGGGAGAAAACACTGCAATATTCAGAAAGGAAAAGATGTAGTCGCAGGATGATGGACTCTAGAAGATGCAAATTGGTCAAGAAGGTAAGAAACACTGAAAATGTAATTCTAGCTGTGCAGTTGCAAATGACCCCCATCAGCTGTTTTAGAAAAAATAAAGATGGAAAAGAAGGTCAGGTAACTTAAGGAACTGTCAAGATTTGCACAGGCAACTCTCAGGTGAGAGACATAAACAAAACACAGAAAAGAGTCCTATTACCAGAGATGAATAATTAAAATGTGGCGGAGAATGTGTCAAGCCCCAAATGAGGTTAGGCGTGCCACAAACAAAACCCAAAACAACACCACCAAATCCAACAGCAAAGAACCCAGGGTTAAAATGAAAAAATCGCAGAAGGATGGCGGGTGTGTGTGTGTGTTTTCCACGCTATCAGGGTCTCACGGAAAGGCGAGGTCTGGGTTCTGTGCTTCTGATGATGACATGAGAAAAAGAGAGCAGCTCCTGTCCCATCCGGGAGGACGTAATCCTTAGATGGAGAGAACTGAATGGACATTGCTAAAGGGGTCACAGCCCAAAGAGGGGATACTGTGCAGAGGAGCCCTGTCTTATCTGGCAGAATTTTAAGAATTTTATCCCAGATTTTTATGTTCCCGGTCCTAACAGAATAATGAGAATCTTGAAGAAACAGAAAGTTACAAATGAACAGGATTTGTCTATACTTTCCAAAAGAGAAATTATTTTGCAAATTTGGCCATTTCCCCAGAGGCTAGCACTAATGGTCACTTCTGAGATGAATACATCTGTGACTGCTGGAGCGGGATGACTGTAGTATCGCTTTATTCATGCCTCCCTGCTTGCTCATATGAATTGCTTTGGCATTAGGATGTGAAAAATGTGAGATAAGCAGAGACTTGAGAAACACCTGTGCATTGCTTTTAAACCCCACTAGGACTAGCCCACTGGAGGATGAGAGACCAGGTGGAGCAGACAAACCATCCAGCTGAGGTCATGCAGTCCCCAGCTGACCCATCTGGCTTAATGACAAATATTTCAGTGAGCCCAGCTGAGACTGGCCAAGACTGTCTAGATCAGCTGAACAGCCCTGCTAAGCACCACACAAATTCGGACGCAGAATGTGAAATGGGTCAACTACAATACATAGTGGTTGTAGGTTTTGACCACTAAGTTCTGGGGTATTGTGACACAACAAAATGAACTGTTACGGTTATGGTGTGGGCTTGTGTGTCAGCCGAAAGGAGAAACTGTACAGGGAAAACATTCTATAACATTTGGAAAGACATAACTTGGTATAAGTTGCTTTGTTTCTCTTTTCTTCACCTTTCTCTGTCTGGAGACCATTTATACAGGATTGACTTCCAGGAAGAGGCACAAACTATCCAGTTTGATGTCTTAGAGATGGTTGGAAAGAAGCAAAAAAATAAAGTGAGAGAACAAAAGAGAGGAAGGATGGATTGGAAAAAGGATTCAGTTATCTAGTTTGAAAACTTTACAAAAAGATAGATAAATCTGGGCCCTCCCTGGTGGCGCAGCGGGTTAAAGCACAGCACTAAGAAGCTAAAGCCACTTCCCGCCTGCCCTGGAGGAGATCCACATGGGGAGGCAGACCTCTCCTGACCTGCCCGCTGCTCCCCTCAGCAGTGTACTTCCTCTATCTGCCTGTCTCTGGTGAATCCTCTCACCCTCCGCATCTCTGGGTTGTACCCCAGTTCCATATGAATAAATAAATAAATCTTTAAAAAAAAAAGATAGATAAATCTTTGGGAAAACTTTGAATAAAATTATTTAGTACTTACGATCATAGTTTCCAAATTCTTTTGAGTTAGTCAGTGCATTTTGAATTGTCTTTTTCACATCCTCCTCAGTTATTGAGTTTTCTTGAAAAATGTTTGCTACAGTCACTTCAACATTGCTCTCAACAGCACGCATTTCGGATCTTGCTGAAGGAGAGAGGCTAAAAATGAAATGAATCCATCAGTTGACGAGTTGAACTGAACTTCAAATCTCCTATACTCCCAGATCACCCAGCTCCAGTTCTGACCTACTGTCCTCTGTCTACAAGGAGCCAGATGTGGAGGCCTGGGCTTGCAATAATAGGGTAATTAACAAGCCTGGAGCTCTCTATTCTGTGCACTTTCAGAAGAAATCTAAGGCTGAATGGTTCTTGGAAAACTGTGGGCAAACTGTGGGCAATCAATTTTAGGATCTAGGAGTCTAAAGCTAATGAGAAAGCAGAACAAGTTATATCTGATATAGTAGGCCGATAACTTCTGTCAAAAAGCAATCAACCATACTGGGGTATTCCTGGAAGAGCCAGAAGTCAGGAGGCAGCTTCAGAGTAGGCATGTATGTGATTGGGCATGGGGCCACATGACTCACAGGAGAACTGGAAAGGAGGGACAGGGCTGCGGGACACATGGGCATGTGATCCCAAATCACATCCCAAAATACTGAGGGCCCACCATGAGCAAGGCATTGTAAGAGTCCCTCTCTAATCAGCATTGCCATTTGGAGTCCTAAGAACAGCTGTGCCAAGTTCTAAGTGTTTCATTGTCCAAAATGAATCAAGTGATACAACTACTGAGAGAAAAACGAAAGGACTTCTAAAAATTCCCTCTTGATCTGCTTTATGGCTGTGTATTTTAAAGATTTAGGATATGTTTTTCTATCCCTGTACTTCATAAATTCACAAGCCTTAAGAACATAGCCAAATGGCCCTCCCTGGTGGTGCAACAGGTTAAAGTGCAGCGCTGCGAAGCTAGACGCAGCCGCTTCGGTGCGAGTTTGACCCCCTCAGCCAGGGAGGTGATCCATTCAGCTCAGCAGACCTCTCCTGTCTTGCCTGCTGCTCCCCTCAGCAGTGTATTTCAGTCAATCCACCTGTTCTGTTCCCCACTTTGTCTGGTGAGTCCTCTCACCCTCCTGCACCTCTGGCCTACACCCCAACTCTTGTATGCATAAACAAACAAACAAACAAACAAATAAAATAGCCAGGAGTGTAATTCGGGTGTTCTTGTTCCTTATCATCCCTCTCCCTGATATGGAGGAGGAGGCCCCATTTCAGGGGGTGGCTAGGTGTGGTTTGTAACAAAGGAATCAAAGCAAGCTGGCCCAGGTATGCAAGGTACTGAGCAGTGGAGGGCAGAGAGGGCAGAAAGAATCTTGCTGTGCTCCCAGTCACACCTGCTCATCCAGGCAGGGTCAGTTGAACTCTGCAGTGACCAGGCCAACATTCTTCTCTTGACTTGAAACTTGCCACAGAGGGCCTTTATATTACACAGGAATTTGACAAAAGACTGGAAGTTAGGCAAAAACACACACGTCTCCAACGTACCCCATCAATCCATGGTAAACTTACCTGATTTTAAGAATGATGGTCTGTCCATATGCTTTGTCTTTAAATGTTTCCTTAAACTGTGAAGAAGAACAAATTTAATAACAACTACAAAAAGAAAAAAACTGATACTATTTCTAGGTTTCAACAGAAACACACTTTCTGAACTTGTTTATGTAAGTATGTATGGTTGACCACAGCAAATTATTTATTCTTGAAATGAGTTCTAACCCTTTACAGTAATTTTTGCTCTATATTATATATATTATATTCTGACATAAGTCAGAATTATCCAGAAAAAGGTGGGAACTTAAACACTCGGTGGTGATTACCTTTTTAAGCTTGTCTTTTCAAAGTCACTGTGGAGGTTTGCACTATTTGTTAGGCTTGTCTACATGCAGAATTCATGCATGTGTCACCATACCCCAGGAACTCACTGAATGGCCCCCCTTTGTGGCCAGGGGGCCTAGAGATCACAAAGGAGGGGACATCAGTTCTATGACCTGTTAGTGGGAAACACAGCATGAAGAAAAGAGACTTTGAGCCACATGAGATACCACCTACCTTAGAAGTTTAAAAAAAGCAATAACATGTCTTTGGATTGCAGAGTCCCACAGAGGGAAGAGGCCCACTTAAGCCATCTGGACAGGGACTGGAAAACACTAATTTTCAGAAGCAGCAGGGTTCAGAAGGGAGCAGGCTGCACTGGGAAGAACGCCTCATGTCTGATTTCTCCATTTGCCGATTTTGCATAATTTAAATTTTTGAGCCTCACTTTTTCTTATTGGAAAACTTGAAATAGCAGTTAATTCCCACTACATCGGGCTAAAATATGTTTAAAGTGAGAAGGAACAGAAGATGCATGACTTTGTGAGCTAGGAGGGGTTGATCTTAGTAGGCTCGAGTTGTGTTCTAAGAGCAGAGACAGCTCTAGAAGCCTGCAGGGATGTGGCCAGACATAAACCTGGGACTTCTAATAAGGGCGGGATGAAGATAGGATGGGTGTGGGTGGGGGGACAGAGGAGGCAAAAGCATAATCACAGCCACTACCCAAGAAACAACAAAAGAGTCAACACCTAGAATTAAATTTAAAGTCTGAGACACAAGAGAGAAAACTTTTTATGAAGAGCAAGCCAATACTGGAGTCTGGGGAAGTCAAGGTTCTATTCTTCACTCTGCTCCCCACTTGGAGTGAGACGGAAACAAGACCACAGTTATGGTCTTGTCACACTTATGACTACTGTTGACCAGAGGCCCCGGAAGGTTCCACAGAGGGCGCTCACCACTCCATGGACCTAACACATGCGCACTCTGTGTACCTAATAAATGGCCTTTTGGAGACACTCAAGTTAGACTGTATTTTCACAAAACAATGGTTCCTTCCAGGTCCCAGCATTTTTTTCCCCAAAATGAGACAAAGTTTCAATCCCAAATCAGAATGGTATTGCCTGTAATAAACTGATTTGCTCAATAACCACAGAGCTGTCAGCTAAGCCAGCATCATTGCTCTGGTATCAATGAAATTCTGACCCACATAAAAGGCAACTGGTTTTCGGATAAGGACAGAAGAGACGGATTGTAACTATAGGTGCATTGTTCAAAAACACCAAAATGTTATGAAACTGCATAAAATGGTTAAAGACAGTTGATTAAAAAGATGCCATTCTGATCTTCAAGGCACACACAAATTATAACTGAGATAAAACTACTGTTCATTTTGACATTTCTTATGGTGGGGTAATATATAATAGATGCTAATCAGATGGAGTCCTTCTTCCAGTCTTAAAAAAGAAGAGCCAGACTAGTTTGAAAATTTATGCAGATTTGAATAGAAAAAAGGAAAAAAGTATTTTCAATTCTGTGGGAATGATATATTTAAAGCACCATTAAATTTATCTGTCCACCCAAAAATATACCACCAAAAATATATACGTCACAGTGAGCATGGCATGGCTGGATCTCGCTTAAAGGCCTTCTGCCAGGCCCGGAGGTCCGCCTCTAGATATGGATCACAGAGATGCCAAAGGAGGAGAGGCACCCAGGGGGGTCAGACAGCTGCTGTTTACCCACCCACCGGGAGGCTGCCTGTCACCATTTGTCAACAATAGCAGTAAGGCATGTTGTGCCACTCGAATGCCAGCCTTCCTCCCAGTGGCTCAGTGTTAGACCAAAAAAATGCATACAGGAAGAAGGGTTGGAAACACTTACAAAATCAGTAACTCTTTTATGTAATTGTTGATAGGCTGGAGAGTGTTCATCTTCTAGGCCAGATGTTTCATTTACTTTTACTTGAATTTTTCCAGGGAATAGTGATCCTGAAATTCAAGCAGAATGTTTCTGTCTTATGTAAAGAGGGTCATTTCTATTTTGTTTAAAATATGCATATTTTAAAATTCTAAACCTTATAGGATGATACAGAAATTCTGGAAACATTAAAAATGGTTTACCCCATCTATGCCCAACGTAACTCAACCAAATTTTCAATTTGGTATATTTTTTTCCAATGCAGATTTTACATTGCTGTAATTCCAAAGCTGTGTCATGAGTCCTTTTTTATTTATTATTACATGAGAAACATTTTTCAAAATCATTCTCCAATCTTCATAACTATCATTTTGAAAGGCTACATAAACAGTCTATAAAGTACATGTTCCCTTCATTGACGGAGTCATTTTGTATTGTTAGAATTTGCACTTCAGCTTATTTAAAAGGAAAGGTTGTAATGAACATCTTCATGGACAAGCTTTTCGTAGGGTCAGAGTGGGTCCCCAGAAATGATAATATTAGTGCTAAAGATGGGAACATCTTTTGGCTTCTGGAATATCTCTACCCCCTGTGAACAATTGTGCATCTGTTTTCTATTTAATTAGTTGGGTCTGGCAAGGGAAAATATGGCTCATTTGTGAACTGACAGAAATTTATAACTCAGGTAACAGCCTTGGGCCATCACAGCACCCTGTGAATTAATGCAAAAGAAAGTTATGCAAAGGCATTTGATCTGCAACAAAGGTCCACTTCTAAACCTGAGAGGATCTTAAGTCTGAAACTGGAGGTTGGCTGTGATGGAGCAAACAAACCCTGAGACAGAGAACTGAACCTAGATCAGAGACCAGCCTCCAGGTCTACCTGGTTGCATGTTTTTTGTTATATTACCTGATCTTGCCCATGTAACAGACACTTCGTATTTGTGAAAACTTTGTACTTTTTTTGGAACTATGTGACCAAGCAGTCTCTTTGTACCCCTCTGGACAGAAGAATGAGGATACATGTCCACCCGAAGGCCTTCAGGACTAGCTTACAAATCTGACTTGGTCTATTTCCTCTTCCACTAAGACAAAAGCCAAGAGTCTCAGCTTTACTGGCCTTTGTTGCTTCCAAATATCCCTCTACCTCTAAGATACCAGAAACGCTTTTTGCCACTAGTTTGAGTTTTTGATTCCACCTTACACATGAGGCCAGCTTATCATAGTTCATCCCTTGCAGCTTACCTTTATCACACTTGGTTTCATTGTAGAAATACCCAACCGGACACATGCAATAGTGTTCATTATTCAGATTAACACAGGAAGAAATACCCTTACAAGTCTCGTTTTGGCAAAGACCGTTGGGAGCTGAAATAAAGTAGAAAGAGATTAAAAATCTACAGAACAACAAAATAACACCCAGAAACGTTCTTTTAAATCTCCATGCCTCTTATTTGGGTACCTCCTAGTTCTTGGCTATGCTATTCCACATTATACCCTTAGGAGAGCTGGAAATAAATATATATATTTTCTCTTTCAAGGAAGTTGGTTGTTGAAGTTCTACAGCTAAGTCTTTGTTAAGTGTAAAGGTCAGAGGTTGGTGGGTGAGGGTCTCTGCAGAGAGAGGGAGCAGTCTTCCTCAAGAGTTAGGAATCTTTAGACCTCAAGGGCCTTCCAGAACATTGAGGTCTATGCTACGTAGTGCTCTTCAAAACCAGCAGAGAGGAAGCATAACATTCTTAGAGGATATGAGTTACTGTCCGGTAGGGAGATACAGGCAAGAAGCTTTAAGAAGAAACCAGATGTAATGGTGAATATATGTGGCATACAGTTCCATGAAGAAAGAAAAGGGACTATAAGGGGAGAATGTGGATTAACGTAAAGATTTTCAGAGGGAGTGATGTTTAGCACTCTACACTGTAGGTGTCCTGATGTGCCACTTGTGGGAAGGTGAGACTAATATCTCAGTGACTTCCACACTACTGGCAGGCCACAGTGTCCTCCCTATCTCCTGAGAAATGATGGAGTCCAAGGGAGGAAGTTAAATCAGTGCCATTGGTGAGTTTGCTGGCCAAGCTCTGTCAAATGAAACAATTCTGAGCTTCGATTTCAGAATAGATCAAGTGTCTGCTGCTTCTTCAAAATTCTCTTAAGATTTTTATGAATATGTAGGCAGAAATCATTGATATTTTTATGCTATTTTATAGATATTTTATATGCTATTATATATTGTATGTGTGTATATGTATATATGTATATAAACACATATAGAGAGATTATATGTATGTATAAAACCATGTGCCTAACAAGGGGAAGAATACTCACAAACACCCAAATATGTGTGCATGTATTTGCATAAATTATCTCTGGAAGGAGACACAAAAAACTAAGGACATGGGTCCTAGTGAGTGAGGATGGGAGGGAGGTTGAGTTTTTACTGCATATATTCTCTGTTTGAGCATCTCCCCCATAACTATGGGCCTGATTTACTTCAACTAAAAAAATAAAATCGTTCTGGGGAGGTGGTGAGCACTGGGAACGCTCATTCTTTGCTGGTGGGAATGTAAAATGGTACAGCCAGTTTGGAAGACAGTCTGATCATTTCTTAAACATATGATCCAACAAGCACATGCCTCAGCATCTACCTAAGGGAGGTAAAATTTATTTCCACACAATAAGGACATAATATGCAGACCAGTTTTATGTAAAACTGCCTAGACTTGGAAGCAACCAAGATGTCCTTTAGTAGATGCATAAGAAAACAAACTGTGACACATCTACACAATATTGATATGCAGTAAAAGGAAGGAGTCGTCAAGCCATCTAGGAGATGGAGGAATCTTTAGTGCATGCTACTAAGTAGGAAAATCAATCTCAAAAAGCTACATATGGTATGATTCCAACTAATGACATTTTGATAAAGGCAAAACCATGGCAATAGCAAGAAGATTAGCAGCTGTCAGTGGCTGAAGGGGAAGAGAGATGAAAAGCTGGAGCACAGAGCATATTTTGAGCAGTGATGGACATGCGTCATTATACATGTGTCCAGACCTAGAGAATGCACAACCCCAACAATGGCAAGCTAGTAGTTGGGTGATTATGATGTGTCAGTTAGGGGTTCATCAGCTGAAACAGATGTACCTCTCTGCATGAGGGCTGGGGGGCACACGTGACATCTCTGTGACTTCCTCTAAATTTTAAAGTAGATCTAAAACTATTAAAAAAGAACCTATTGGGCTCTCCCAGGTGGCACAACAGGTTAAAGTGCAGCGCTACGGAATCTAGCTAGCCGAGCCACAGGCACGTCAGCACGAGTTTGATCCCCAGCCAGGGAGGTGACCCACACAGTGCAGCAGACTTCTCCTGTCTCACCTCCTGCTCCCCTCAGCGGTGTACGTTGTCAATCTGCCTGTTTTGCTCCCCGCTCTGTCTCTAGTGAAGCCTCTCATGGCCCCTGCACCTCTGGTCTATACCCCAGTTCTGCATGCATAAATTAATACATCTTTTAAGAAAACCTATTAAAAATGCCAAAGAGCCCAAAGGACTGCAACTGAGATGGGAAAATGCACAAAAATATGTAAAAATAAACTATTATAACCCAGAGGATAGGGAATTTTTCCCCTTTCACCTCTGCATTTTGCTAATGAATATATCACTAGAGCGGCTATGATGATTTCATTGTATATGTTGACTAGGCTTCCATGCCCAGTTGTAAAACAAACAAACAAACAAAAAAACTATTACAAAATTTTTAAAAAATGCCAAAGAGTTCAACAAAATAGGCTACGTGGAACTAAAGATGGCATTTATAATGCAGTAATTCTAACACAAACAATAGCAAAGGTCACCTCTCTGACAAAGTGTGAGTTGTATTTTCACTGAGGTAGGGGGCTTTTAAAGAGTCTCACATTGCAAGGATGACTTGGAAAATCCCAGGAAGATATTGAATCCAGCTCTGTTCTGGATACATCAGACAAAGAACTCCTTGCATGCTTGTTCCCTAGCATTCAAGGACAGACTTGTTAGCTTGTTTTTTTTTTTTTTTTTTTTTATGCCTGGAATAAAGTCACAGATGTACAGCTGAAAGAAACTTGGTGGCTATTTAGTTGTCATACCTTATTACAGATGAGGACGTTGAAGTTAAAGAGAAATGATTTGTCAAAAGATTGTCTGGGGTAGCAGGACTGGCTCACAAAGGCTGTCTTTCCTGACTCCAGGGCAGCTGATTGGGGAATTGAGACTGATTTGACCTCACCTTCAGAGCAGCCCCTTCAAACATGAAAGATGGGGGCCAGGTCTCAGATTTAGGCTCTAGCTCTGTCTGCTTAATCGTCCCTTGCCTAGATCTGTTGAAAAATAAAGAGGCCAAAAGATGAAGGCTTGGGAAGCCATCACCTTGCTCAATGACCTATGCCTTCTCTGGGCCTCAATTTCCCAATATGAGAAAGGTTTATCTAGACCCTTTAAGTCTAGGTTTGAGGAATCTTTTAGACCAGAGGTTGCCTCATGAGCTACATCTGCTATTTTTGTACTTAAAGTTGTGCTGGCATACAGCGAGGTACATTCATTTATCTTTCGACTATGGCTCTTTCAAATCAAAATGGCAAAGTGTATATATTTATAAAAACCTACACATGTATATTTTAGCACCATAAATCAAAGTCACCAAAAGTGTCCATCAAGAAAGGAATGGTAGACCTAAACAAAGGAATACATCTCAGTAATAAAAATGAATGAAGGGGCCCTCCCTGGTGGCTCAGTGGGTTAAAGCACAGCACAAAGAAGCTTAAGCCACTTCCGCATGAGTTCGATCCCCCGCCTGTCCTGGAGGTGACCACATGGCGCGGCAGACCTCTCCTGACCTGCCCGCTGCTCCCCTCAGCAGTGTACTTCGTCGATCTGCCTGTTCTGCTCCTCACTCTGACTCTGGTGAATCCTCTCACCCTCCGCATCTCTGGTCTGTACCCCAGTTCTGTACGAATAAATAAATCTTTAAAACAAAAATGAATGAAGGCAAAACAGATGCTACAATATGAATAAACCCTGAAAACATCATGCTGAACAACAAACAGGTAAGTACCAAGAGCCATATAAATGGAACTGATTCCACTTTTATAAATTGTTCAAAGTCAAGGAATTTCACAGAGAGAAAAGAGATGGCCAGTGGTCTGGAGCTGGGAGGCAGGACAGAACTATTTACTAATAGGCACAGGGTTTCTTTGGGGGTAATGAAAAAATGTTCTTGAATTGATTTTGGTGATGGCACACAACTGTGAGTATAGTAAAAAGTACGGACATGTATATTTGAAATGGTATGATATGTGAATTATATCTCAATAAAACTATTATAAAAATATATAAAGTGGCAAAATGGAATAGCAGCCACAAAGACCATTTTGTGGCCCACAAAACCTAAAATATTTACTCATTTGTCTTAAGTGATAAAATTCTATTATCCCTGCTTGAGCCAAGGTCTCCAAACTGAGGCAACTGGTCTCTGCTTCAATAACTTTCTCCTCTGGCCAAGGGTGTGAGCCATGCCTAGGACTCTCTGAGTACTGCTGAGGTATGTCACGTTGTCCCTCAGGCTCCAACTGTACGAATTAGCTCAACTTCTAAATGTGGTCAGCTTCTACTGTAACATGTAAAAATTTTTAAAAGATCTATTTATTTATGCATACAGAAATGGGGTACAGGCCAGATGTGCAGGGAGAGAGAGGATTCCCCAGAGACAGAGTGGGGAGCAGAACAGGCAAATTGACAAAGAACACTGCTGAGGGGAGCAGCGGGCGGGTCAGGAGAGGTCTGTTGCGCCATATGGGTCACCCCCTTGGCCAGGATTGAACTTGTGTTGCAGTGGCTGTGGCTAGCTTCACAGCGCTGTGCTTTAACCTGTTGAGCCACCAGGGAGGGCCCACGTGTAAATTTTAAAGTAACATTTGATAAAGGGAGGACTCACTCCCTCCTTAGATGGACCAGAGTTAGACCAGTGAGTGCAGCTAGGGAGTCAGTGCTTATTTGGGGCTGAGAAATTATTTCCAAAAATCTTTTCAGAGAAGCCAACTGAAGAAGTAGCCATCACAAAGTCCAAGTTCATAAAAATACTCCACATTTGGCAAATAGCTTTAGGAAGGATGGCTGGGAAGGAAAGGAAACAGACTAGAATTGCGGGTGATATTTTGTGTCTCTGCTATCACCACTAGATTTTCTCACCGATTTTTTCATCTCAGTGGTTCATATTCTAGGAAACATAGGGCCTCTTTTTACCTAGTCCCCTACCCCAGCAGAAAACAATTCCTGCTATCTTCCACAAGGCTGGATCTCCCTAGTGAGGAGTCTTGATTTTTTAGATTTAGACAGAGGATCACCAGAGACAGAGTGGGGAGCAGAACATGCAGATCTACTGAAATAAATACACTGCTGAAGGGAGCAGCTGGTGGGTCAGGAGTGGTCTGCTCAGCCATGTGGGTCAGCTCCCAGCTGGGGATCAAACTCATGCTGCTGACAGGCTTTAACCCCTGGCGCCACCTGTGAGGTCCCGCCTTGTTGGGAGAGGAGGCAGCTGTGGCGGGCTAAACGCTGGGTCCCATGTAGGTAAAGTTGCTCTGTGATTCTGGTTTGTCATTTTCAGCTTGAGGGTAAAGAGTGTTTGCTGCTTTAAGGAAATTATTCTTACCTGTGGAACCAGGTTTTGTGGTGGCCAGGCTGCTGGAATGAGTAGTTGAACTCGGTGGGGTTGCTGTTGATTTTGT